CCTGGTGGACATCTCCACTTAGTCACGACTTCACTCGAGGTAAGCCCAGACCATCCTGACGACGGTAAGTTGATATTGGCAAGGCAAGGCGAAGGGTGACCTGTCCAAGGGATGCCAAAATCTCATCTGCAGGCGCCGAGGGCATAAGTACCTCGCTGCCCCCCTGTCCCAGCTCCGCCCTCAGTCTCGCTATTACCATTGGAATCAGTCGTGTAGACGATCTTGGATCTTCAGAGACACCATGACCATGACCATAACCACGGAGATGACGCCGGAGTCGATTCCCGGCACGGTGCATTTGGTCGACTTGGACCATACTATGCGGACACGCCACGCAGACGCCGGTGCTGGGGATATTGTGCTCGTCCCGACGCCTTCGAACGACCCCAACGACCCGCTGAACTGGTCGCCGCGACGGAAGGTGCTTGCCAGTATCTGCTCCAACATGTACGCAGTCTTACTCCCCCACCTGAGCGACGTTAACATGTTGCAGGTACACCTGGTTCACCGGCATGTCCGTTTCCACCGTCTACAGCGTGTTAGTTCCTCTTTCGCAGGCTTCTGGGGTCTCCGTCTCGGCCCTGAACCAGGGGACTGGTTACATGTTCCTGTTCTTGGGTTGGGGTTTGCTCTTCTGGCAGCCATTCTCGCTGCGTTACGGGGTAAGCCGTTCTCCACGGATAACCATGACCGTTCTTGTTCGGTCGGGCTGGCGCAGACTAACAAATATTGCAGAAGCGCCTAGCATACTTGATTTCTGTCCTCGGATCGCTTGTGAGTAGCGGAAAGCCTCCCCCGGTGTTTATAACCATTACTGACTCGGCGTCCAGGGGACTTGTATCTGGAGGTCAGTTGTACTGTACCGGCTGCATCCACCTTCTCGCTGACAACACATAGCGCCTACGTTACGAGCAATGGTGAATGGATCGCCAAATGCATTGTTCAAGGTTTCTTCAATGCTCCAATCGAGGCCCTTCCCGAAATCTCCGTCACCGATGTGGTATGAACATTCCGAGCAAAGCCGAGATCGAACACGTCTAACATGTTGGGACAGTATTTCACGCATCAGCGCGGCACCTATATGGGCATCTACGCTTTTACGCTTGCCGGCAGCAACTACTTCACCCCGGTCCTCTGCGGTTTCATTGCCGACGGCCAAGGATGGCGCTGGGTCTTCTATTGGCCTGCCATCTTCCTCGCTTTCGTCTTCGTCTTCCTCTTCTTCTTCATGGAAGAGACCAACTACAACCGGAAGACCGTCGGACTTGTCGCGGAAATCGATACACCGCCATCAGAGCCTACCATGGACAAAGACTCGGAGAAGATGCCCGCCACCATGCTTTCCACTCCTTCGACCGAGTACGCACCGGAAAAGACCTTCGTTCAAAAGCTGTCAATCTGGAAGCCTCAGCCCGGCCAGCCGATGATCCAGCGCGCGATCCGCAGTCTGAGCTACCTGGGATGGCCAGTCATCTTCTATGCCGGCTTTTCCTACGGGTCTTATCTGATCTGGTTCAACGTGTTGAACGCGACGGCGTCAATCATCCTGGGTGGACCACCTTACAACTTCTCGCCGTCCATGGTCGGCCTCTCCTATGTTTCCTGCACCCTCGGCGTGATCCTAGGATGTCTCATTTCCGGCCGACTGAGCGATTGGCTGACCATCAAACTCGCCCGACACAACAAGGGCATCATGGAAGCCGAACACCGCCTCTGGCCGTTCTTGCTCTGCGTCATCTTCGTCCCCGGTGCTCTCATCCTGTGGGGCGTGGGCGCCGCGCATGGCATTCACTGGTTCGGCCTCATCTTCGCCATGGGCACGTTGGCATTCGCCACCACCTTTGGCGTCACCCTCAGCATCAACTATATGATTGACAGCTATCACGAGATCTCGGGCGATGCCATGACCACGGTCATCCTCGTGCGGAATACCATGTCCTTTGCAATCAGCTATGGGTAAGTCGAGTTTCCCTTGGCCCGTGCGACGATACGTGTGACTGACCACCAGCATAGAATCACCCCCTGGTTGACGCACCTCGGCTACCAGAACTGCTTCATCTCTGCGGCGTTTGTCGGCATGGCGGCCTCGTCCGTCTTCTTCGTCATGATCATGTTTGGCAAGAAGTTCCGCGTCCAAAGCGCAGCCAAGTACTGGAGATTGGTCGCCGCTGACAAGGCAAAGTACGGCGAGCACTGACCCCAGACACCCGAACGAGGGGCCGTCCAGTCCCGTAATAATAAAAGGAGGCATGTGTCGAGACCTATCACCCAGCGTTAGATGTGAATATCCATGTATGTGTTCTATATCCATGTTGGAAGTTGTCGTCCTGCGTTGATCAAGCCCTTCCCGGTCCCTGTAGTCGAAATAGTGCAACCCAGCTACTGTATGTATGTCCGGCGTACAAGTAACGGACCTCCAGCACGTTCCTGTATCGGGCGTGGCCACGACAAACTATTGTAGCCTGGAAGTTTAATAATGCCCAGCGGCGGCCGCAAGGAACAGACTTCTCCTTATCAATGGCGAGCCGTGCGTCCAATCACCAGTCACCACTCATCGGGAGCTCGGGAGTTGGGGGAAGCACCCTGACGAGTCGAGGACCATATTCCGTCTCTCCCGCTCACCCTCTGTGTCCCCGCAATTTGACACGCGCGCGGACCCATTCCACTGGATTCCAATTCTTCCTCTTCCACTGGCTGGTGTCGGCCACCGCGCGGACCCCAGAACCACTCGATAGGAGAGTCTCCTCCTGTTATTGACTGGTGTTGGATGTTGAGAGTTTCAGGACCGGCCTTTGCATGTTCTTTCGGAGTGGGCGCTTCAATCTCAGCGAGGGTCAACAGCCGGGCTCTAATATCGACTTTGTTGGAACGACCTCGAGTATACGATTCGATAAACGTCGGACGACCTCGAGTATACAATTCACCACGTAGACGACATGAATGGGGCACCTCAACGTCCACGATTGCGCGCAAAGACTGGATGTCTCACATGTGAGTATCCTCCTCACCACACCCGCTCATAACCTCGTCTGCTCATACCGGCCTACCGCCAGGCAAGCACAGGAGAAAAAAGTGCGATGAAGGACGGCCCGCGTGTCAGCGCTGCCGGTATTCTGGATATCATTGTCAATGGCCGACGTCCGACGACCTGATCGACCGGCGCTATTCATCGCACCCGGCGCGTCGAAAGTCGAGCTCGCCGGCCCCTTCAAGTGCGGGTAGTACCGACTTGACCGATAATACACAACTACTCCCCATCTCCAGGAAGGACCAAGGCACCGACAGCCTCTCGACCGACGCCACGGTCTCGCGGTACTCGGAAGCGGCGGCTCATCAGCTGTTACGCCACGGTCTCGAGTCCGTGCTTGCGCGCCACTTCGTGGACCGCTACTACTGCCTGCTCCTGCTGCCGAGCTGCCACCCACAGTACTACCACGGGTGGATCAACGAGATCCAGGAACTCATGGTGCAGCACAAGTGCCTGCAGTCGTCGGTGTTGGCGTGTGCGGCCTCTCATCTCCATTTCGTGGACGCGTCGCCGCAGATGCAGGAACTCTCACTCACGTACTATTCCCAGGCGATCAGAAGCCTCTCGGAGGTTCTTGCGAGCGCATCATCGCACCTGGAGAACCACAATGGCTTACTGATGTCGATCATGCTGCTGTATCTACACGGGGTAGGGTTATTCCTTCCTTGGGCGTTATCAATAACATGCTGACACGCGATAGTGCATGGGAAGAGGCACCTACAACGATATCCCCCGTCACGTCAACGCCGCGATTCGCATCCTCAAGCTCCGACTCATGGAACGGCCGCTGAGCATCAGCCGGCCCTTCGACCGTCTGGCGGTGGAGAGCGTGCTGTACCAGGTCTTCCTCGTCACCATGGGGTCCTGGTCCGACTACTCGGCGCTCGGATACCAGTTCGACCCGGCGTTCTGGCTGCGCGCCGAGAACTTGCTGGCCCAGTCGATGTTGTTCCCGAGCACGTCCATCTCGACCAACAGTCCCGTGCTGGGCGTGCCGATCGATCTGTTCAAGCTCGTCTTGTCGATCAAGCGGCTGTGGGAGAGCCCGTTTCGGCACGACGAGGAAACGCTGGACGAGGTGAGGACCGAGTTGGACGAGTGGGAACGGACCATCATCATCTCGGGCCCCGCGTCCCCCGACGACCAGTCCGACAGCCACTACGAGCTCTACAAGGACGCCACGGCCCTGTACGTCCTGGTGGCGTCGTTGCTGGTGCAGGAACTGTCCGAAGGCCACACCGAGGCGATCGGCCCCCCGGAGCCAGTTCCGCCTGACTGTTGGCAAATCGAAAAGACGGTTGAGATCCTGCGGCGCCACGAAACCGACGTCGACTGGGCGAGGTGTTATATCGGCAACTGGCCCGTTTATACGCTCGGGTTCTTCATGAGTGCGCCCGACGACATCCAGCTTATCCGCGACGACATGCGCCGGCGGTGGGACTTGATGCGGTTTTCTCAGCTCGAGCGGTTTCGAAATAACCTGGAAGCGATTTGGATTCAGCGGGAGCGTCTGTCGGGCGGCGCGTAATGTAGCGATGCAGTGACTGGTTTTATACATTAGCGATGTAGGCACTGATGCAGTATTATTGGCGATGCAATCACGCTGATTAAGTATCCATGATCAACGATCATAGATGAGTTCTTCTTCAAAATGAAGACCAACAATCTATTCTAGAGCGTGTGACCTTACCGCCTGTTATGGCCAAAGTACTGCATCTCGGGATTATTGCGTACTCCCTAAGGTATGAGCCCCCAGCCCCCAAACTAATTATTCTGCGGAATCAGTTCCACCTGTAGGAACCTCCCTAGGAATCGGACCGGACAGAGAGAGCAACGCCAATAATAACGCTCCTTCAAACCCTAAACATACCCCACACAGCCTCCCAGTTAAAGAGTTATCTATAGTTTTTGTCCGCCTAAAATTCGGTAATTTTGTGCTCCGAAATCTCAGATTTTCAACACCACATCAGACGAGGGGATGGCCGAGTGGTTTAAGGCGGCAGATTTAAGTCCTATGTCTGCTCTATCAGATCAGGCGTGACCTATCCTCTGCTTTCCGTAAGGAAGCGTGGGTTCGAACCCCACTCCTCTCAAGTTTTTTTTGGGGTTTTTTTGTGGCCGGTGCGTACGAGGCAACGAGAGCGCATGACTCAGAGGTCTATGTAGTGATGAAATGGGTGGGAGAGAGTTTGGAGTTTGAAGTTCGAGTGTTCAGAGCGCGCGGGGGTGGGTTTTTAGTACGTCAAATCGCGAGGTAGGCTGCAATTGTCCTTGAAGTTTTTACAGCCGTGACTACGAGCTGTAGGTCCATTATTCCTACTCGAAGCGGCACACGACGTTTGGAAACCTGTAATGATTTGATTGCGAGTTGCCTTTCTTCATCCTCGATAGTTGTAGTCTTCGTTAGGACGATAGAATGGATAGCACCATTCTTTCGAGTCTCGGGCTAGGATAGCTCATTCAAAGAACACTCACAGCGAGATCACAAGCACTCACCCCTAATTCCCTGCCAGCATCGCGAATAATCTGCTAATGGGCCACTCAACATCATTTTCTCAGGGAGCAACATCGCTCGGGAATATTACCAGGTCGGAGCTGTGTGAACCACGCCGCTCTCCGTGCATCCAACGGAGTAACTCCAATGATTATCCCTGGAGTGCGGCTTCTTGTAGCAGATGGATCCAACTGCCATGGCCAATACGGGTCAAAAACGTCAGCACAATATCCTTTTTCCGTTCAGCATCACTCCGATCTGTGAAAGATAGAACCAGCTCGCTCAGCTACTGAACTCGTCGAGCACGTCCAACCTGATCTGCGAAGATTTGTCCAGCCAGCTCACACGTCCAACCCGGTCTGCGAAGACTGTCCCTAGCTCACACATCCTAGCCACCGACAATGACCGTCGAAGGAAAGGCACACGAAGAACTGTCCTACACTATTCAGTCGGAGGCACGAAGGATTTACGAGCTCATCGTCGACGACGCCCGTCTCAACCTGCCAGACGAGGTCAAAGCGCTAAAGGACAGAATCCAATTTGTCGGGGACGAGACGCAGCCTTTCTTTCCCGTCCCATTCAAAGCAGCAGAATCTCAAGCTGGTCTACTTGGCTATGTGGGACTCTTGGCCCTTACGATCGCCCAGGAACGATATGGTATCGAGCAGGACTGCCAGATCGATGTTGCCCACGCCTTGCTGAACGGACTCGGCGCGCTTTTTGTTCGTCACGAGGGCGAATGGCTATCCGGTAGCCCTAAAATGATGGCGGCCGTCCAACGCTGGGACCATGGGATGACCCGAGAACTGTATCGTCAACTGGCAACGAACATATACAAGTCAAAAGATGGGCGATGGTATTCTCTACATGGCAACATGGACCCGACGCCTCTCCTGCAGATGCTGAACCTTCCACAGCACAACGAGAAGAACCTGACCTGGCCGCAAATCATCGACATGTACGCTAGCGTCGTCGGAAACATAGATTCCAAGGTCCTCGACGACTGGAGCAATAACGTGTATCGAACCCCTGGCACTGTCTGTCTTGAAAAGGAAGAATTTGAAGCCTCCCCCCAAGTGAGACTGATCAGCAGCCGACTTAGTTGCCCCTGTGCTGACCTGTCCAGGGGAAAGCCATCAAAGACGAGCCTTATTACAACTTGATCCCGCAGCAATATTACACTCAACCCAGCGTTTCCTGGGACAAAGTACCATTTGATCCAGCTGACCGTCGTCCCCTCTCGGGAATCAAGGTGCTTGATCTTTCACGTGCCATTGCCGCACCTACCATTGGCCGCGTTTGCGCCGCCTTGGGAGCTACGGTGATCCGTGTGTCGTGTTCGACGAACACCGAGCTTCCCATTACGCTGATGGACGGTTGTATTGGCAAGACAAGTGTCGACATAGACCTCAAGACCTTTGCTGGGAGGAAGCGGCTCCTCAGGCTCATCGAGGAGGCCGATGTGTTTATTGATGGCTATCGCCCTGCCGTTATGGAGCATCTCGGCTTCGGCCGGGATGCTGTCCTAGGCTTGGTGGCTGGCCGAGAAAGAGGAATTGTCTATTGCCAGGAAAATTGTTACGGCTGGAAGGGTCCGTGGACAACGAGGCCTGGCTGGGCACAGATCGCCGACACGGTTGGTCTCAGAGAATCGTTTCTGTCAGCTGTGCTAATTCTTCCGACTACAGGTTTGCGGTGTAGGCCTTGAGATTGGCCGATTCAACGGATACGACGAGGCGCACATCTTCCCCGGTCCCAACGCCGACTACCTGACTGGCCATGCCGGTATCGCCGGCGTGCTGCATGCGCTTTATCTTCGCAGTCGCCAAGGCGGATCATACGTCGTCCAATGCTCGCTTGTGGTTGCGAACATGCAGATGCAATCGTACGGAAAATATACAGAAGAACAACAAGCCGCGCTGAAGGCCCGTAACAAAGGCTTGGTCGGGCATATGCGTCACTACGATGAGATCGTCAGCCACGGGAAGAATCAAAACGTCGTCCGAGGATTCGTTGCAGACCGCGGCTTTGACGGAGCTGTGAAGACAGCATACTATCAGACGGTGGACGGTAGTATGTGGGGGCTCGGGGACTTGGACATTGTCAAAACGGCATTGAGGTTCCAAGCATGCAAAACCCCTGCCAAATCTGGAGAAGCGATCAGGACTGACTGGGTTGTCGGGCCTTGTCCGCCAGGATATCATCTGCCAGAATGGGAGAGGAAACAAAACGAGAACTTTGTGCCGATCCAGCCAAGTACAGATGGTCAGATGTAAGGGGGGATTTGAGATTTTGAACCAGAACACCAGAAAGGATCTCAGAACAAGCCTGTCAGGGCCTTTGCGCCATTCGTGGCTTTGATAGCATACTAGCAACGAAATGCTCTATCCTGAGAGTATGCTAGTGCCAGTACCATTGCCAATGCCAATGCAAAATGAAGACCATCGGACATCACTGCAACGCCAGTTCTTCATCGTCGCAAGTATCACCGACTCCATCTCGCCGGATAGATTAGGTAACTAACTCCTGACTTCTTAGCTACTGCAGTCCCCGCCCGGAACCCGGAGGACTCAACGACCACAGAGCAGTCCGAAGGAGGGGGTCGAACGGAGCATGCTACTTACTGTACTTACTGGACAACAGATAGCGCCTTCCTTCCCGTCCTATCCTCGGAATACAGTCTCTCCTGCGCCTCCGAGGATAGGTACCGGGCTTTGCAAAAGAAAAAGGTTTTATCTTACGGGCAGAGTAACCGAAGAAGAAGACGATGATGATGATCTTTTGAATTTTATACTGTGGGAACGACGACGACGCCTGGTCTTGCTTTTGACAAGAATCAGTGATACTATTGTATTTTGACCATGACGAATTGTTGTCAAGTGGGGAGGGCTGCTCCAGGTATGTACTGAGGAGGATACTGCGTATGTCTCGAGCTGGAATGGTTCCATTCTGTTTGGGCTTTCCCGTGCTTTGTCCAGTTTCATCACGAGTGCTCCGTCGTTGGGCAGACCATTGCGAACGATCGCTGTCCAGTTTCATACGAACGATCTCTAACCTTCGGTTGCTCGTAGATTCGTATACTCCGCTTGGGCGATACACCAACATTGGCGGCCTGAATAGCTATGTCAGTGACGACAGCGCGCCGTCCACCACAAAACCCCGAGCATTGCTCTTATTGCTGCCCGACGGATTCGGCCTGGCGAAGCATAATCTGATCCTGGCGGACGAGTTTGCAAAGGAGGGATACCGAGTGGTCATCCCGGACTACTTTGAAGGTCAGTCAGCCCGACGCCGCCATTGGATCCTGCACCTGCCCCAGTGCCAGCTTGGCCTGCTCTGGCCTGGCCTCGATGAACGACACTCACACGTCAGCAGGAGATCCGCTGCCCATCCAGGTCCTCAAGCGGGATCGCGCCCTGTCTATTGACGACCAACCGTGGCCCGAACGCGACAAGCAAGTTCTCCGAGACCTTGACTTCGAGGCCTGGCTCCGACGGCATGACCACGACCGCGTCTCACGGCTGCTCGAGGGCGTGATGACGAAGATTTCGCGCGACTCTGCAATCGTCGTCGGCGTGGGGTATTGTTTCGGAGGCAAGCACGTGCTGAGGTTGGGCAAAAGCGCCAGATTGGCCGCGGTCGCGTCCTTCCATCCCAGTTTCGTGGAGGCTGAGGATATGCGTGGCGTGCGGGCTCCGGTCTATATCGGCCTAGCAGGAGAGGACGACATGGTGCCTGCGTCATTGTCGGACGATCTCCGTGCGTGGTCGAGCAGTGGGATGGAGCCAAACGTGGCCTTTGGGATGGAAACATTTCCTGGTGTGGGACACGGATTTGCTGCCAGGCCTGATACGGATGATGAGGTCGTCCGAGGACAATATCGGCGGGCGTTTCTTAGGACTCTTGAGCATTTTGCCAAATTTGTGCCTGGACGTAGTGCAGCACGGAATGAGCGACAGAATGCACAGATAGACAGAGAGACGATCTAACTTTGTCCGGCGTTGAACATAAGGCGCCATCGATGACATTTGAGTTCGTGTATCCAAGCCACTTTGACAGGGAGGAAAAGTGAGCGAAGCCATGCCTCGACCAGCTGGCATTATCTCTCCTTTTCTCGCCTCCACACAGCCTGAGCTTGAGAGAAATACTGGTAGCAAGCTCCAAGAGATGATATTTGAATCTCAACGTTTCTTTCGCTTGAACGGTGGCAAAGTTTCTACTGCAGTCACATGAGAGATATGGAGATACGGAGCTATAGGGTATGGAGATATTGCATAGATACAGACCTCCGTACAGCCTTAATCGGCACTGATTACAACCTTGCCAACAGGCTTCTCAATGACCTCCCATTGCTCCCATCGGATCTTCCTCAACATGCGGCGGAACTGCCACCATGTCCACGGCATTGTGAAAGTATTCCAGCCATCGTCATTCTTGTAGTAGGTGACACACTCTGGCCGAGCCCAGACAAATGTACCTCTCTGCCTCCGTTGAATCTCGTCATTGTACTCTCGCTCAAAGGCCCGTTTCGGGTGGATCGCAAGCTTCACACCCTCTCGTGCTCGTAGGACCGACTCTTTAACGACCTTTGCCGCAAAC